TTTTTTTCGCATTAACTTTGTTAGCCACTGTTATGTACACAGTGATGGGCGTTAAGCCTTCCAATGAAGCGAGTGGTGGCAAAAGTGACGAGAGCGTCGAGAACGGCACACCACAAGCAGTCAGCGAAGAGCAAGCCTCTTCCTCCGCCGGCTCGGCACGTCGCACAGGTAATACCAATAACGAGGTGAAAGACGACGCAGCCCAGGCCGCCGAAGGTATGCCTCTTGTCACATTTAAAATCCGCGGAAATGGTATTTATCCCAAAATATATTGTTTTAAATTTTATTCATTGCGCTTTTTGATAAGTAGTATTGGTGGCTTGTGGGTTTTCGACTGCCTCATTATAATTTGTTTGCACTTATGTATGTTTGTGCATGTTGTTACCTTAATATAGAAAGGACTTATATAACACTTCTGTCTCTGGAGCGTAGTTATACAACTTTATAAAAACTAAAGTTCTTCAGTTTCTGTTGTTTACCCTTACCCTGTTTTTAAATAAATGTTGGAACTAATTTATTGATATAGTTGATTTTAAATTCGATTAAGTCTTTAGCAGGTAACTTAACAACTTTAGTATAGTGCTGAATTTCGAAAGAAAATGAGTTAGGTCCTTTCTATATTAAGGTAACGATATAGCTACAAACTTAGTAGAGCCGCGAGCATAGAGTATCGGACGAAGCGTCGATTACAAACGTGTATAGCTCAATGGGAGCGCACATAGTGAACAACAAAGCGTAGATATATGCACTCCAATTGAAATATACACGTTTGTAATCGACGCTTTGCTCGATGCAATGCTCTTCGCTTCGGTCGCCATTCCACTATGTGTTTAGCCTTAGCAAACTACTTACTATAATTTCTCTGTCTAATAGTTCATTCGTTTTCATTCATAGTTTACATTTGGATTAATTTATTATTTTTTTTTTAGTTAACACATTTCCTTGCCTTTATTAGTAGTGCAAAATTTTCAAAATCGTAAAAAAATACTTTTCTAAATAAGTT